TTTTTTTTTTTTTTTTTTTTTTTTTTTTTTTTTTTTTTTTTTTTTTTTGTACAGCCACTTCTTATTCTTCTCTCGGGATTTTTAGGGATGCATGCGCAGTGTGTTTTTTAACCTGCTAAATCTAGGATTTGAACCATGCACACAGCCATGTGGGGTCCAGCCACTTTAACCACCATGCTACCAGCTGGCCCCAGATTTTTGTCTGTAATATGTTATAATTTCACTTCCATACATTTAGGTAGAGATAAAGGTCCGCCCCCCCACACACTTGCGTGGAGTTTATTGGGCTTCCACTTGTGAATTGGTATGTTGCAACAGTTCTGTGAAAGTTTCAGATGATCTTTGTTAGCATTTAACTCAGCCCTAATTTTTTTCTAGATTTATGATTAAACATGTACTAGACATTTTTTGTTGTATTCTTTTTGCCTTTCTAGGCTCTACTCTAGGAAGCCACCAGGTCCAGGACTCAAACTGTGGTTGGCCATTTGGGAGTGTTCAGCACCTTAACCACCATGCCATCTACTGGCCCCTCGTATGTAGTTTTTTTTTTTTTTTTTTTTTTTGTGGGGGGGGGGGTTTTTTTTGTTGGGTGGCGGGCACCAGAAAGGCAGAGAGAGAGAGAGACAGAAAACGAGAAATCACCCCCCAGGGAGGATGGCCATGCCGCAACCCCTTCTCCTCTATTCTCCTCTCGGGATCTTGGGCATGCACACACGCACACACGTGTGCCCAGCGTGAGTTTAAGCTGCCTGGTCCAGGACTCAAACCACGGTCGACTACATGGGAGTTCAGCGATATAGCCATTAACTAACTGCTGGTCCTGGCCCTTGTATGTAGTTTTGAAGTATTTCTCTGTATTAAGGTTCTTGTTGCCATCCTCTGAGGCAGCCAAGAAATTAGTCTGACTAAATCATGAGGTTAATTGATGAAAGGCCTTGAGAACTGAGTACTTAAAGAGTCTCAGGACTCTTTAGAAAGTCTAGAGGCCGACAGGTGGCATGATGGTTAAGGCGCCGGACTCCCACATGGCTGACTTCAGTTCAAGACCTGACCTGGCAGCTTGCTTCCTCACTTTCCCTCTCTCTGTCTCTCTCTTGGTCAAATTTTAAAATAATAATAAATAAAAATTAAGTTATTTTTTTAAAAAAGTATTTTGCTACTAGAGGAAGTTGTTTTATGGTAGTGTTTTTAAAGGTGGCATTTGACTCAGTTGTCCCTTTTGTTGACAGTGTCATCAGCAAAGTGGTTCCAGCCCCCGAGGCTAAGCCATCTCCTGCTCTGAACAGACCTAAAACCCCACCGCCAGCCCCAGCCGCAGCACCTGTGCCTGTGCATGTGAGCCCCGCCCCCATGCCATTACCACTCCTAGCCCAGGCCACTGCGTGCCCAGCTTTGCTGCCATCACCATCCCCCGCCATCTCTGGAGCAGGAAGCTCCAAAGCTCCTGTACGAAGTGTGGTGACAGAGACAGTCAGCACTTACGTGGTATGTATGCTTCATTTTTATGGAATTTGGGCGAATGTGGCATGAGAGCCTATTGTTTTGTTGTGAAAACATTTTCAATTAAGAAAAGCATCGTATGCATCGTTATTGAATTTTAGAGATAATTCTTCATAACTAGAGAAGTATTTTCAAGCTTTTGGCTGAAAAGTATTATATTGCAGTGTTTGTGTATTGAGTCTCCACAAATGTCAAAGCATTGTTTATTCTTTATATTGTTTCATAGTATGACTATACAATGATACAACAATATCAGTGGAAAAATAGAGAGATGGTTAGTGATATTTAAATCCCACATTGAATTTCTTGATCAAGCAATTAAGCTTTTCACTTAAGAGTATAATTTACGTGATGCACACAGATCTTAGGAGCCAACTGGTGATTCTGAGTAACAGCACTAAATGTAATACTCCACTTGCTAAGATCCAGAACATACCAGGGCCTGCATGTTGAATGAGAATGAGGTTTTAAACCACAGAGCTTCCCACGTGTCCAAGCGTGACTTCAGATTATGAAGCCTGTTGTGTTAAATGAGTCCCCATTGCCCTGGGACTGTTTTTAGGTGTTTTCCCTATACTGGTAGTACTGGGTCTTACTCAAATCCTGAATTCAGTCTAGTAATGACGTATTTATACAGACATATTCTTTGGGCTCTATGGAGTGACACACAGACACACCACAGCATATTTAAGGTGCACAGAAGCTTTGTCATTGCTGTGACCATAAGGATGCAGACTGTGATATATCAGCCTAATGATGGCAATAATCTTTGTGAATGACTGGAAAGTGACTGGGTAAGGCTTATGGTATTTGTTATTATAAATCACACAATGATGAATTTCTTTAAAGGCAACTTCGAAGGAAATTTTGGGAAATTATTAAACATTTGAGGTATTTTAATAGCAAAGTATAAAGAGAAAATCTTTTTTTAAGAATTATTTATTTTTTTAATAATTCTTTTCTTTTTAAACATTTTTATTTATTTATTTATTTGTTCATTTGTTTGTTTTAATTTGACCAGAGAGGACAGAGGGAGGATGGAGAGCCACCGGGTCCGGGACACGAACCGCGGTCGACTAAGTGGTAGTTCGGTGACATAGCCATTATGCTAACTGCTGGTTCCCTAGATGTCTAATTTTTTTATGTTAACTCATCCTTTGCATTTCTAAATTTTTTTTACATATTTTAATTTGAAAGAATATATTTTTTTCAAATCTTCACAATTATTTAGTACTTTTGCATCATGAATTTGGCGTTTTATTTAATTTCTTCTAAAATACTAGATATGTACTTTTAATTTTGTATTTGATAATCCTAAAATCTACTTCATTGTGACTTTGTTTTTGTGTTTATTACTATATTTTTTAAAAAAAGAATTATTTTGTTTAACTTTATTTATTTCAATTTGATCAGAGAAAGAGGGAGGGAGGGGAGGAGGGGGAGAGAGAGAGAGAGAGAGAGAGAGAGAGAGAGAGAGAACAACCCTCTGGGTCTAAGACTCCAACCACAGTCGGCCATGTGGGAGTACAGCACCCTTAACTACCACACCACCTCTGATAGTTATAATTATTATTATTATTATTATTTTAATTTTCTATAGGACATGTACACTTACAGAAGAGAGAGGGAAATTGTGAAAGCAAGCTGCCAGGTCTGGAACTTGAACTGCAGTCGGCCATGTGGGAGTCCAGCACATTTAACCGCCATACTACTTGCTGGACCCAAGAGAAAAATCTTTTTTTTTTTTTTTTTTTTTTTGGAGGGAGAGATTTTTTACGTTTTTTTTTTGCTATTGGGCATGTGCGCTAGGCCAGAGACACAGAGAGACAGAAAGCGAGAAATCACGTCCGAGGGGGATGACCACACCACAATCTCTTCTCCATTCTCCTTCTGTGAGTTTGGGCACGCATGCATGCCTGGTGTGAGTTTTAAGCCGCCAGGTCCAGGACTCAAATTGCAATCAACTACGTGGAAGTCCAGCAGTGTAACCATTACGCCATTCACTGATCCCCGAAAGAAAATCTTAAAATGTGTTCAAGAGTTATAAATACGTGAAAAAAAATAAAAGAAAAATACTGCATTAGAAGTTCAAGACAAAAATATTAGGTCAGTGGGGAAGTCATGACATATTTTTCTATGCAAAGATGTGTCACAACTTTGCTGACGACCCAATAGGATATGTGAAATAAAAAGCTATAATTATCAAGGGGCCAGCAGGTGGTGTGGTGGTTAAAGGCACTGGACTCCCACATGGCCAACCATGGTTCAAGTCTCAGACCTGATGGCTTCCTTTTTCACATTCCCTCTCTCTGTCTCTTTCTGGTCAAATTGGAAAATAATAATAAATAAAGTTAAAATAAAATCATTCTTTTAAAAGGAAAAAAAGTATGATTATCAAATTATACCATTCAAGGAATAGTTGTTTAATGGAGGAAGCATCATCCCGCCCCTCCCCACCAAGAAAAAAGAGAGGAAGAGAGATGCTTTTTGGACAGAAGGCAATATATTTTATGAAAGACATAGACTAATGCAAAAAGGGACGATTTTGTCTGCTGAATAGTATGACATTGAAAATGCTGATTAAGGGCTAACAGGTGGTGTGATTTCCCCCATGGCTGACCATGATTTGAGTCCCAGACCCAGGGTTTTGAAGACCATGCTAGGCACATGTGTGCATACCCAAAACCCTAAGAGGAAAGTGGAGGAAAAGGGATTGCAGCTTGGCCATCCTTTCCCCCACCTCCCCTGACCAGAATATAATTTCTCACTTCCCTTTTCTCTGCCTTTCTCTATCCAGTGCAGATGCCCTGTGGCAAAAACTTAAAAAATAAAAAAAAAAGGAAAAGAAAAAGAAAGAAAGAAAAGAGGGACCAGCAGGTGGCAAGGTGGTTGAGGCACTGGATTCCCACATGGCTGACCACGGTTCAAGTCTTGGACCTAGCAGCTTGAAAATCACAAATAAATTGATAAATAAATAAATAAATGTTTTTTTTAAAGGGAAAACATTTTTATTAAATTCCCTTAGCTCCATTTTTCCCATTCTTAACTTATGTAGAAATTAATTTACAATGATTAAGTGAAGTTAGATGTTTGAAAGAACTTAGTGAACTGAGAAGTGTGGGGTGTTGGTTATCGTGGTTCTTAGTAGCACGACGAGTCCTGGCCTTCTGATTCATGAAAAGTCAGCCATCAGGAGGACTGGCCATGCACAGTAGCTTCAGGGCATGGAGTGCTGGACTGGTCCTAGCCATCAAACAACTGAAACCTGGTGACCACGGGTTTTCTCTCCTCTTGTATACTTTCTCCTGAAATTAGAGAGGATAGGTCAAAGACATGACTGCCCACAGGTTTCTTTAGTAAGTTTTCTATGGAATTCACCAATGTGGAGGTTTTTTCCAAAAATGGTAGGCCTCAAAGTGAGCCTATCAGTAGGCTGACACTTGTATATGCCAGTATATTCCTCACACACACAAAGCCATTTCTTTTTTGCATAGCCAGTCAGTGTCCTATTCGGAAGTATAGGAAGAAAACTACCTGCAGGGACCAGCAGGAAGTGTGGTGGTTAAGCCACTGGACACTCCTACATGGCCAACCACAGTTCAAGTCCTGGACCTGGTAGCTTGTTTTCTCACTTTTCCTCTCTCCCTCTCTCTCTGTGTCTCTCTGTGGCCATATTGATAAATAAATAAATAAATGTTTTTTTTAAAGGGAAAACATTTTTATTAAATTCCCTTAGCTCCATTTTTCCCATTCTTAACTTATGTAGAAATTAATTTACAATGATTAAGTGAAGTTAGATGTTTGAAAGAACTTAGTGAACTGAGAAGTGTGGGGTGTTGGTTATCGTGGTTCTTAGTAGCACGACGAGTCCTGGCCTTCTGATTCATGAAAAGTCAGCCATCAGGAGGACTGGCCATGCACAGTAGCTTCAGGGCATGGAGTGCTGGACTGGTCCTAGCCATCAAACAACTGAAACCTGGTGACCACGGGTTTTCTCTCCTCTTGTATACTTTCTCCTGAAATTAGAGAGGATAGGTCAAAGACATGACTGCCCACAGGTTTCTTTAGTAAGTTTTCTATGGAATTCACCAATGTGGAGGTTTTTTCCAAAAATGGTAGGCCTCAAAGTGAGCCTATCAGTAGGCTGACACTTGTATATGCCAGTATATTCCTCACACACACAAAGCCATTTCTTTTTTGCATAGCCAGTCAGTGTCCTATTCGGAAGTATAGGAAGAAAACTACCTGCAGGGACCAGCAGGAAGTGTGGTGGTTAAGCCACTGGACACTCCTACATGGCCAACCACAGTTCAAGTCCTGGACCTGGTAGCTTGTTTTCTCACTTTTCCTCTCTCCCTCTCTCTCTGTGTCTCTCTGTGGCCATATTAAAATGAATTAATGAATAAATAAAATTAAATTTAAAAAAAGAAAAAAAGAGAAACTACCTGCAAAATAAACAGATCAAGCAATTAAGTTTTGCACTTCAGAGTATAGTTTACACAATGCACATAAATCAAAGGAGAATGAAATGATGTGCTGTCAAAATTGTGAAAACTTGAAAATTAGCTTTTACTTACTGTTTTTGAATGATCATCATAGAATTATTTCTTTCAAATTGCTTTTGTTAATGTGCAATTTGAGGAAGTAGGTACAATTAGAAGTTATTCCTATGTAAACTGCTATGTTAAATATGGTAAACTCCAGGGCATGCAATATTTGTAGCAAAATAATGTTTGATGTATAGTTCTTGGCCTCTAAGCCCCTTATTTCATTTGTCCTTTAGTTGATTGTACTTCACTAAAAATGTCATAAAAGGAATGGAAAGTTACTTAGTAACAACTCTTTTATATCCTTGATCTTATCAGCTAGTTCAAGAAAAGGGTTGGCTAATAAGTAATAAGGTGATACACACACATTTGGCTGAATATATTAATTCCATGCCTATGAATGTGATGGAGGAAACTACGTATACTTGAGCTCTTGAGCTTTCTGTTATTGTTACTGCCTTGAAGACACTACTCATTAAGAATTTACGTGGTTATAAGATTTTATTTTAGTTGAAGGAAGCTATCGGCCATATTGTTCACAGAGATGACTATAAAATACTTTGTTTTTATGACTTACAAAAAGAGTTTAGAATATTCACTAGAAATGTCTTCTCACTTAGTAGCTATTTTCTTTTTTACATAATCCCAGAACAGTGATGATATGATTGATCATAGCTTTAATGAAGTATTAATCTGCTATTATTTTTAGCTTAGTCTGTCTGCCTGTTTGGTTTATAGTATACGGTAGTAATTCTTAACTGGCTTCATTTCTGGTGCTTTTTCCCACTCCATCTCTGTTTTTGTTCCTTCCTTCCTCAAAAACATCAGATCCGAGATGAGTGGGGCAATCAGATCTGGATCTGTCCTGGGTGTAACAAGCCTGATGATGGAAGTCCGATGATCGGCTGTGACGACTGTGACGACTGGTACCACTGGTGAGAGCCCAGAGCACCCACAGGCCGCAGTAGGCAGCCATTGCTTTATCAGGGCTGTGCAGGTCTCTCCTCCAGAGGAGGCTTTCTGCAGAGTAGATTCATGCCTTTGGGCCAGTTCAGCTGTCCTAAGAGCAGGTTATGGAGTAAAATCATGGAGGCCTTAAATGTAACTCATTACAAAAACTGAGAGTCGTTAGACTACTGTTATTTATCTACAGTTCTGAATATTTTCCTTAGCTTATTTATCCTTATTTAAAAAAAAAAAAAGTAAGAGGAGTTATAGGGTTTCCTTTTCTTCCTTTCTAGTGATGTTCTATAAGAGGTACAGTACTTGACAGTACCACTAAAAGGTAACTCCTCTGTAAGCATGATGCAGACAACAAATAAAGACAGCTTGTTTGTATTTTAAACCTTTTCAGCAGTTCCCCAGAACAAAAGCTCTATCAAAATACATACAGATCATCTCATTTTACCTTTAAAATGTTAGATACAGAAAAAGAAAATCTGTTCAGTTATGATAGATTAGTCTCAATATATAATATCTATAAGATAAAAAACAAAGCCATTGTTTTGATCTTCTAGATAGGACCAGAAGAGTTATATCATCCCTGGGTAAAAGGATGAATGAACTAATTAACCTCTCCAATAGGGTCTATAAAAGGGACATTGTGTGACTTAATCATTCAAATGCTCAACAATAGTGCCATGTACATTAGAGGTGTGTGACTTTGGTTTCTGGTGAGCATACCATAGTTTAAAAAAATTATTTTAAAATGTAGAAAGAAAAAGTGTGTGTGTGTGTATGTGTGTATAAAACTTGCTTAATCTGAACTTTTTTAAACATATGTAGGCCCTGTGTTGGAATAATGACTGCACCACCAGAGGAAATGCAGTGGTTCTGTCCCAAGTGTGCCAACAAGAAAAAAGATAAAAAGCACAAAAAGAGGAAGCATCGAGCACACTGACGTCTCCGTGTGGTCTGGACCCGGTGGAGCACCCTCCCTGGTACCTCTGGAGGAGAGCCGATGCAATTCTACCATCCCGTCTAACCAGCTTCTTGTGGATAATGCATCTGAGAAGACTGATCTCATCTGCTTGGGATCTTCCCTTATGAAACACACTGGCCCGTGGCTTCATCAAAATGTGATTGAGGAAATGCTCCAGGAGAGGCGTGGCATAAGGGCTGGCCACCTCAGTTGTTCTACAACCAGAGACAAGTATTATTAATAAAAAGACCGTACATCTTCCCTTTTGATTTTCTTTATTCTCTCCAGGGCCTTTTTATTAAGGTGTTAGATGAGAAGATAATGTATAAACTGCTTTGACTGTAATTTAAGGATGATATCATTAGTCTGTATACAGTTTTCAATCCCTTTCCCTCTATAGTAAGATAATCATAACTACAGAAGGCTCCAGTTGGAGTATTGGTAAATATTTTTGTGATGAGAATATATGAAACTTCTCCCCCACAGTTGTTTTTAGTACTAACATGTAAAATGTTCAGGCTTTTGTGAAATACCTTATATTTTTTAAGAAAAAGGTTTCTATCATGTCCTGTTGGCTTTCGTGCAAATTATTTTTGTTTAACGTATTTTATATCTTTGTTGCATTCTAATTTTGCCCTCCTTTAAACTGCTGGAGTCTTTTCTCACTGCTTATACATTTCATCAACTTGTGTAAAAACTCTTCATACTAAAAGATTTCCCCTAGTGTAAATAATAAATATTTATGGAGTAGTTATTTTTTAATTTTTTTTATCGTGTTTAATTCTGGCTTTCTCTGAAATCTACTGTGATTTCAGCCATGTCTATAATTATTGCTGTACATAAGCAAAGAAGGCCAGAGGAAAAGAGCCATAGTTCAAAGTCATTTACCTTGAGCTAAACTCGTGCAGTGCCCAGCAACAGCGTGGGGGAAAGGACCCTAGCAGTTGAAAGGAAAACAAGGCAATTTAAATCTATAGTTTATGATTGAAATTGTTTTGTTTGTTATCTATTTGGTTTCTGTAAATTTCTTTGACTTACTTTAATTAAAAGGACATGGAGGTGCCACAAAAGTAAAAAAAAAAAAGAAAGAAAGAAAAAGAAAAACCATACTGTAGCATTTTGTGTTTATATTTTATTTCTACAAATTTGTTCATTGGTATTGTGCTTTAAGGCTGAAATGAAGTATATTATGATTTTTTTTTTAAGAAAAACTCATCAAATTTCAGGGTATCACAAAACTTTATTATATTACTGTACTGCCCACTATTTATTATATGTTATAGATGTCTGAGAAGTAAACCAAATATTTTATTTTTAATGTAAAAACATCAAATTTAACTTTATTAGCATATTTTAGCAACTTTGAAATACATATGGACTTTTACTTGATTTTGAAATAATCCTAATTCGGACCCATGTGATGGATATCTTGAATGCTAGAATATGGGCTTTGAACCTAATACAAATATTAATAGAAAATGTGATTTTTTTTAATGCCAAGTAAATTGATATTAGTGTATGAATTAGTCATATTTTAAAGCGTATTATGTGGTTACAGAAATGCAGTTTTCTGCCATGAATGTTAAATTGCAAATCAGTGGAAATGGAGTAGGCCTTTGAGGAGTGCAGGGTATCATTGCTTTCCTTCTAGAGGCCAGGCGTTTTCTATCCCTGCAAAGAAACAAAGCATCTATTTGGAGATTTGTCGAGGGAGGGGGGGTTGTCGTCGTTTTATTAATTTAAGGTCATTCTAAATCCTTTATACAATATTTTCACATGCACAAATATACCCATTAGTGCTTTTTGGAGAGGGACGAGGGGTGGGGGAAGTACAAAATAAAGATTATTGGCTGTTTCATAGTTTGCTTTTCCACTTTCTTTCTTTAGGATTTAGTTCCTTGAGGCATGGTCAGTGGATCTAAAGTTGCCACGTTTAAGTGAGCAGGTCATGCTACCGAAATAAGAATGGAGGTGCCTATATATAACTTTCCCCCAGTCCTACTGTCTGAGAGACTCCTGCCCATAGGACATTTAAGGAATTTCAATCAGTTTGTTGTCCCTTGCTATTTCATGGTTGCTTTCCTAAATCCAGTTCATGATTTTATAAATGGTCTTTGCAATAATAAAACCAAAGAATCATTTTCAGGGGGCTGGATAGCTCTAGGGATTAGTAATGGAATACAGAGCCTTTCACCTCTAGGTCAGTGAGTCGAATCCAGTCCAGGTCACTAGAGACCAAAAGTTGTCACCATCTTATGACTGTTCAGTGGCCTGTGTGAAATGAACTGGTGGTCTCCGTCTCCACTGGATGGCTGTTTGCAACATCAACCGAAAGAAGTGCAAGAAATTGCCAAGAGAAACGTGGGCTAGCACATAAAACATCTGTATTACTCTACAAAGAAAAGTTAGAAAGTTGGGCATAGTTACTCTCCATAAAGTAATAATGAAGGAAAAAAGCAACTTGCCCGTAACGCAGACCTTACAAAGAGGATAAGAGATTCATGTACTTTCCTTAGTGAAGTAACAAAATAGCAAAGGAAAAAGACTATTTTGAACGCGAAGGGAGAAGGATAAATTGGGGGAAATGATGAAATCAAGAGAAACATCTTAAGCAGCCCAAAACACAGTAAGAAAAGGTGGGTTTTTACTTTCCAGAGAAGGAAATCACCAGAAGAAGCAGGAATTCGAGGAACTACTGTAACTGAGAATTAGACGCAATGGAATGAAAAGTATTTCCCTTTGAAGAGTTAGAAGTTTTCCAGTTGTTAAGTGAAATCCTGACCTGTTTTCATTTATCCCAGCACTATCATTTGAATTACGTCGGTACTTAATGAAGAGAAATAGGAAAAAAAGATGGTGCTGGCCAGTGATTTTATTAAAGAAGACGGTATTTAAGAAACAGACCCTCACTCTGGAAACTGAGAAGCTCCTCTGGTGTGATAACCAGCCCTGAGAGCCAGGTGTAGCTGGCAAAGCGTAATTTCTGTGGCTGACAAGGTGTTTCTCTTCCGAAGGTGTCTGCAGAGCAGCACAGTGAGGATCTTTTTCCTCGGACTGATGTGTGGTTCCAAATGTCCTGAAGAAAATCAGAGGGTATCAGAGTATTCTGACTTTGTCGGGCTCTTTTCAGAGATAAAATATAGTGCATTACTCGACTGTATCACCTCAACCGCCTTTGTTCTCCTTTCAATAGGACGATTAAACAAAGACCTACTAACCAAATTAAAGTATAAAATGAACGGCGAGATAGGGAAACCTTGCCACTAAGAATGCTAATGAATGAAGTTCACTAAAGGCAGGCTGGCTAAGTTTTCAATACAAATAGTTTTATGGCCAATCTCTTTAGATCGTAGCAGTTTTCTTTGGAAGTTTTAAGTCTAAAAGTAATGAGTTACCTTGCCCGAAGAATGAAATAGATAATGTCCTGAATAACATCTCTTTTTCACAGTGCTCTCTGTCCTTCTGTTAGAAAACTATTTCTTTTAAAATCTTGCATCAGTTTTAGCCTAAAAAGTATAAAGTAACGATTAATCCATGTTTCCAAACCAGTAGGTGACATCAAAATTAGATATTTAGATAGCTGAGCAGTTTATTCTTCATTTCATTGGAATACAACATTTATGCTCCTTTGAGCTATTAAAATGACTACTAGTTACTTTTTACATTCTGGACAGATCCGTTTTTAATATAGTTTGTCGAACAACAGCATTAAACATGTTTGCTCATTCTTTCCAAATTTGCTAGACACATTTCATGGAAATGTCAAAGATGTAGCAGAACATGGGACCAGCAGATGGTGCGGTGGTCAGAGACACTGATTTCACAAGGCTGATTACGTAGTTGACTGCCGGACCCAGCAACGTGTGTGCCCAAAATCCCCAGAGGAAAAGAGACAGGGATTGCAGCGTGGCCATCTTTCCCGGGGGGTGATTTCTCACTTTCTCTCTCTCTCTAGTGAGTGCACATACCCTGTAGCAAAAGAAAAAAGTAAAACAAAAAGCAGTCGTCATCTAAAATGGACATAAAATATATACAAGGTGTGGTGGTTATAATGGTTGGATACCACACGACCAACTACACACTTGAGAGTCCTGGTGACTTGCCAAAAATATGCCAGGTGCATGTTTTTGCATGTGTGCCCAAAATTCCAAGAGGAGAATGGAGAAGAGATTGTAGCATGGCCATTCCTCCTGGGAAGTGATTTATCTCTCTCTCTCCTTCTCTCTCCCTCCCTCTGTCTCCAGTAAGTGCTCTATATGTGTGTGTATATATACATATTACAGAAAAAATAAATGTGAATATGCTTAGAATTTTATTTAAATGCATGATACAGAATGATTGCAAAAGAGAGAGAACTAGAGCACCTCTGAAATCAGAAATGAACTTTTTTTCCAGTACATCCTTTTTTTCATTTTTAAGATTTTTGCCATAGGGAACATGATTTTCAATCCTCCACGTATGGGACTCAGATCACTCAGTTGGCCATGTGGAATCCAGCTGCCTTAACCTCTGTGCCACCTGCTGGCCCTGGAAACTGGTTTTTAATGTTAATATGGCTTAATGCTTTGAAATGTTTTTATGTCTGTAAAAAACAATTGAGGGTCAGCAGGTGGCATCGTGGTTAAGGCACTGGACTCCCGTATGGCTGACTGTGGTTTGAGTCCCAGACCTGGCAGCTTGCTTTCTCACTTTTCTTCTCTCTCTCTCTCTCTCTCTAGTGAATGCATGTGACCTGTAGCAAATTGAAAAAACAATAATAATGATAAATTATTTTTTTAAAAAGGAAAACTTAGCAGATATTTCTAATTTACCCAGGAACTAGCAGAGTATCAGAAATATCGGAAGCAGGGGGTGGGGGGGATGGTATATGCCTTAAAACTGGGTACAAACCAGAAGTTCACATATTGTTTCTGACTACAGTTGGACCAGTTTTCAGCTGTCATGAGACTAAGGAGTCTCAGCAAAAATATTGTGAAACAACATAGACGTAGGAATGCATATGACTCCTTGTATATAAAGTTCACAAAAAGACAAAACTACACTGTGGAGGGATGTATACGCAAATGGGAAAGCCATGGTCCTCATCAAAGTAAGGATGATGTTGCCCCTGTGGGAAGGAAAGGAGTTTCGGTGGGGAGGGAACAAGCAAGTGCAGGGATGTTTCCATGGTACAGGTAGTATCTTCTCTACCTGTGTGTGTGCTTGCCAGAGAGAGAGACGGCTTGTTAAAGCTATATATGTGTCAGTCATGGGGTGGGGGGGGCTTATTTTCTACGAGTGAAAACAAACCTTGGCCTCATGGTGGTGGAGCAGCAATAGCAGTGCTGTGCAGTGCTGGAAGCCACATGAAGATCGGATTCGGTTCTGGGTTGACTTGTACATGCCAGACACACATACCCATGATTCTGGCTGGCTAGAAAAGGCTAGGGGGGAAGGAGAGACCATCCATCACAGCATCACATGCTGTTGAAGGTCCTTCTCATGAAA